GTGTGTCCACCTGCAGATGTAGCAGATGTGTTAGAGCAGGATGAGTGTTTGTGTTGTAAGAGTGTAAAACAGTGTTCAGCTGCTCTGATGGAAGATGTGTTTAACATGGAGCTTCATTATGTACAGGAAGGAAAGATGGAGCCCATCAGTATTGTGTGGTTGTTTTTATGCAGCTCACATCAAATCATCACTAAATGTTTCCTTCTTATTGTTCCAGTGTTGATTTTGAGGATCCAGATGAAGAAATCAGGTTCTTTGTGAATCTGTTCTGTGCAGCAGCAGAGAGAGAACAACAGACAGGAGAGAAGATACTGGAGCTGTTATCATCAGTGTGCAGATTTGATACATTCCCTTTTGTTGCCATTGATGATGATTTGGAGAAATATCAGTGTGACTTCCTGCTGGATCTGTGCTCCCATATGAAGGACTATGAGACTAAAACAGGCTTGAGTGTCCTTCCATCATTACAGTCAGTTTTTTCAGCTCCTGCAGTCTGGTCCATAAACCTCTCAGAGAGAAAGACCTCCATCCTCCTGGAAGTGCTGAAACTCCAACCAGAGAAGAAACAAGTGGAGCTGACAGGCTGCTCACATGAAGAGAGTGAAGTGAGGAGTTTCCTGCAGTGTCTGCCTTACATCTCACAGCTCAGGTAAATGAAATTTTCTTCACATGAGTCAAATATCTGTAAGAAAAGATGTGCTGTGAAAAGAAGTGATGGAAATATTTGAAGCTCCATAAATTGTAAAGTGATGATTTTGTCTTGTGCTGTTTGTTTGTCATCAGCATCATATTTGTGACTTTATCTACATGGATCATATTGTAAATGTATTCAGACTCTGTCATATTTCAGAGGGAAACGTGCTCAGTGCACCACTGTTTCACTGACTTGTTCAGCTGTTTGTTGCTGTGAAGTTTCATATTTTCTATAAATCTCAGATGAATTTTAATGCTGAAACAGGACAACAGTTTATAAAATAAACAAGGTTAGATTTGATTTAGATTTGATGAGTGTAGAATGAATTGATTTAGATGTTAAATTCAAGAAAGTGATGTAAAGAAGAAAGTGAAGAGAGGAGTTTACTAAAGTTTCTGCCTTAATTGTCTGAGCTCAGGTGAAAAAGGTGGTGCATAGGTAATTTTGTTTACACTTTCTGTTACAGCTCGGTAATAATGGGGTAATCGTAGGGTAATAAGGCAGACAGAAGAACATTATGATGTGGTAATTATTATACATGTACTAAATTAATGACCACTTGATATTTAAGTAATATCATAATAGCAACAATGGTTATAGTTGAGCAATATTATGTTGAAATTTATGTAATTGAATGATAGGAGTAGGCAGCATGGTGGCACGGTGGTTAGCACTGTTGCCGCACAGCAAGAAGGTCCTGAGTTAAATTCCACCATCAGGCCGGGGTCTTTCTGTGTGGAGTTTGCATGTTCTCCCCGTGTTTGCGTGGGTTCTCTCCGGGTACTCCGGCTTCCTCCCACCGTCCAAAGACATGCAGCTTGTGGGGATAGGTTAATCGGAAAATCCAAATTGCCATTAGGTGTGAATGTGCGAGTGAATGTGAGTGCGAATGGTTGTCTGTCCCTGTGTGTTAGCCCTGCGACAGACTGGCGACCTGTCCAGGGTGTACCCCGCCTCTTGCCCTATGACAGCTGGGATAGGCTCCAGCGCCCCCCGCGACCCTGAAAAGGAGAAGCGGAAGCGAATGGATGGATGGATGGAATGATAGGAGCCAAAAAACTGTGAGTAATAATCTGGAAATATAGCTGTGTAATAAAGTGGTAATAGTAGTGTGACAAGGCAGAAACAAGAGTCCCTATATATAATAATAAGAAGAAGTAATTGATTCATCTATCCCATGTGGTTATGGTTTGTAATGCTGACAAAAATCCACCTGATGGCACTCTGGATGTAAATGGTTGGTTTGTTTTCTGCTCTAACAACCAGAAAGTCAGAAACCAAAAGAAAAATTTTAGTTGCAAAGTTTTGGATTAAACTTTGGTTCCTAGCAATAGTAATAATAGTAATAATTTTGACATATGATAGTGTTAGAGGACTTAGTGAACAGAAGTATTTAACTTGACAGAAAAAAAAGAACTTAAATGTTTAAAATTTCTTCAGAAAGTTCTCAACCAAATGGTTAAGTTTTCACTTTATTTTGCTAATTCAAACATTAACGTAAATGTTATTAAAATTAATTATTTGCCATAGAATCAATCTACTGGACCCATTTCCTTATCCATTGCTGTTAATTAATCACATTAAGTGTTAGCACAGCAAGAATATGCTGAAAAAATTTCCTCAATAAATTCCTTAATAAATACTCATTTATTTATAAATTTTTAACTTTCTGAGTCAACATTAGTAAATATTTAAAATTAAAAAGTAAACCTGGAAATCATAATTATCAATTATGATAATAAAATAATAATAATAATTCCCTTTTAATTAAATGGCACTAGCTTGTAAATGAATATTGCAAATTGTCAAAATTATAATTAAATGTTTCACAATTACTAGACGGACACTAAACAATTCTATGGCTCAAGACCATGTGCTCCTGTGACTGATTCATGAGCAATGTTCCCTCTAAGCTGCGCACGTGCGCAGTCGTGCACTACTGGCACGGTCTCCGCGCACAGAAAATCTGCATTGCGAACAAAAAAAAAATCGAATCTCAATTGAAATCAAAGTAAATACGTTTACAATTCATTCTGTCTTGCAGTGTGAGTCAGTAAGTGACTGGTGACTGGCTGCTCCAGCCAATAATGCGATTCACATTCGTATATACGCAGCTAATCAACGTCGTTGACAGGCTATGACAGCGTCCTTATGTGCCAACACCAGTGTTTTAGCTAGCAAAGCGGCGTGGCTGATGTGGAGTTAAACCATGTTAGTGACAACGTGTACAACTACTGGAGATGTGAGCAGGACAGATGGAACAATTGACGGAAAAAGTGTGGACTTTATACCAGTTTTTAAATTGTGTTGATAGGCCACGTAAAACCAGAGTTATGATAAAAATATGCAATGTTTGGTTTTCTTCCTGAATACTATCTTTGTTTATATTTACTGAAGAAACGGTAAAAACACGTTTTATAAGGAAAGCGCTCAAAAGCGCTCTCCGCCTGTGAGCAAAAACAAATCCAAAAAAACCCAGCCTTTCCTGTTGGTGGAAAAATGTACCATGTCCACCAGTAAAAAATAATATGGCAACATGGCATTTAGTTGTTTAGGAAGGGGGAAGTTTTAGGAGTTTAGCGCAAATCTTGTGTAGTTAGTGTGTAGTGTAGTCAATAGTTTCGTTGTGTGTGTCAGAGCAATGAGGCTACTGCTGAATGTTACAGGAGTGATACATCTCCTGTTGTCAGGCCTGCAGGTACCAGGCTGTTGTTCTCCTTTATCTGATAGTGGACAGAAATTATTTTGATGCAGAACAGCTGATTGTTCTGTAAATAGTTTGAAATGTTTATTAAAAAAAAAAGCCTTGGCTGCATTTTTAGGTAAACAGCTGCAGAAAACGTTGTTGTTTGCAAAACTCGGTTTTTTTGATGAACAAGCAACTATATAATTAATAACCCAACATTGGTCATTATATGCTGTATTTTGCAGACAGGACTCTCTCCCAGACCACAGACTCATACTTATAATACAAATCAGAGCTTTATAAAAGAAAAGAAAGTTGTATTTTCAAAATTAGAGTTCAAGTTATTTTTACTTCCAAAAGTGTTAACATACTACACAGGTCATGAACAAGATTTTTTTTAAATTTTCATTGTAAGTGGGCTAAAACAGTTATTTAAAAGTAGTCTAACATAAATGTAAATGCTGTAATTTGATTATAAACCATGTTACTTGCATGGATTCGATGCTGGCGTGACCACAGTGCACATGTCTAATGTTGCTTACAGTGGTCCAAGGGACCACTGAGGGAATTTGTGTGTTTGCTCAGACATTGTTCATGAGCGGTGTCTTCTGATACCATACACATACAAGCACAGTGTTTCTGAGTTCATGGCTTCATAGAAAAGCGCAAGGGCTGGGGCTCTCCGCCTATAGTTCAGTTTCAGTTTATATTGCCAACAAACAAGATAAGTGGGGCTTTAAATTGTTCTGTCGAGCAAGTTAATTTGGTATCATCCACGACTTGCTGCTATATCAAGGGGAATCCATGATCTTTAATGTTACCTTCAGTGAAGAGAAAAAGATGCTCCCACCCTCCCTGATTTCTTTTGTCACAACTTCTTCACAAGTTTCAGCTTGGTCCAGATCTTGCACTAGCATTTAATCAGAGGGACAAATATGAGTATTTTTGTTCTGAATCACTTTTTAAATGCAATATTTTGTTATTCAATACACAATTTTCCTTTGAAGGAATGAAAACCAGCAAAGTTCAGTCACATACTACTAGAAATAAACTATATCCAGTGACTTGAATAACATTTTATACGTAAACTATTAAGAGACATCTCAACCATTTGGTAGAGATCAATATTTTAAAAACTATAGAGTCTATTGAAAAAAGTATAAGTGATTGTGGTTATTCCTCACCCAAGTCAATGAGAAATGCAAACATAAACTCCATTTCATTTTTCTTGGTGGGGTAGTTAAAAGGATAAGTAAGTAAGTAAAATTTATTTATATAGCACATTTCACATAAAAATCACAAAGTGCTTCACAATAAAATCAGACATACAAGATGCTATCCATGTTCTTCCGCTTGTCCATTTCAGGGTTGTGGGGGTTTCAACACCACCGACCTGTTGCGCCTTCATCACTGATTGACCTCTAGACATCCAAAGATCCAGCCTCCTGCAGCAAGTAGCACCAAGCTGCCTGCTTGCATACTGAAAAATTACGGGCTGTCATATTGAAAAAAATGCCTATTATTAGAAATAAACCACTACAAAATGTATTGGGGATGGATAGTTGGGATATTAGTATACCATATAGTATATATAGTATACCATACCTCCGACCCCCTCACCTAATCTGTTGAAAACTGGACTGCAGAATTTTTGGAAGAATATGCATGAAAAAAAAAAAATCCCCTCTCGCTCCTGCAGGACAATCTTTATCCTTCAAGCTCAGGTCGTCTACCAAAGGTCTGAGAGCTCCTGTGCTCCTGCGCAGTATCTTTGCTGTTCCTAGGACTGCCCTCTTCGGATGTTGATCCTGGGATCTGCTGGAGCCACTCGCTTAGTTTGGGGGTCACTGACTGGGTGCTCCAATTACCACTGGGACCACCGTTAGCTTCACCCTCACATGGTCATTTTCGACCATCCTAGGGGGTGTCTCCCATTTTGACCTCAGGACTTCCACTCCATACTCAGCACAGATGTTTATATAGATAGATGGATAGATGGATGGATGGTTATAGCAGAATTTTGATATGATAGTACTGTAAATTAACTGGTTATTACTTTTGTAATTGCACAGCAATAATCTAGAAATTACCAAATTATTACATTAAAAGTTCTGTTTTCAATATCATATTAGTACATAATATGGTTTTTAACAATGTAGCTCATCCTGTATTTTCTCATTTCATCTCCACTGTGTTTCAGCTGTGATCCAGACTTCTTCCAGAGAGTGTGTACATCCATTTCTGTAAGATCCAGAGAGGAGGCCCAGCAGCTGGAGTCTCTGCTGCAGCTCCTGGGCTTCCAGCTGCTGTTAACAGGAGAGTTACACAGGAAAAGCTGCTGGTCTGTGGGGAGAGTTCTCAGACTGTGTGGCTCTAAAGTGGATCTCATCCTCACACCCAGCAAGATGTCTGCCAGAGGAGCCGCTCTCCTCTTTAGACACACAACACAACTACACAGTCTGAGGCAGGAAGTGAAATCATGACTCTCTTGTTCTTCTAACACCATTTATCTGCTGTCCACTTTGAATCTTTGGTTCTTGGTGTTCATCATTTCTGCTCTTTTGTCTCTTTGATCTTCAGGCTTTCCATCGACATGTCCTTGCTCCTGTTTCAGTGGGTAAGAAGAGGCAGAGTGGTCTGTCCACTGGCTGTGGAAGAGCTTTCTCTTGTGCCTAAGAAAGCTCGACCATCACAGAGAGTGATGTTGAGGGCTGTCAGTAGTTTGGCTTCCCTGCTGAGACACTGGACAGTCGGACAGTTAGACCTGACTGAGAGCTGCATCCCTGCTCAGGGTCTGATTACACTGCTGCTCCATGATGGTCCTCTAACAGTCAAGTAAATGTCTTTCCTGAACATCACAGGCCAAATAAAATGTACAGTTTTACTTTAAAGCTAATTTTATATTTATGATCTCTGCAGACTGAGTGAAGAGAGCTTCCAGCAGCTTCTGTGTCTCCTCCATGAAATCCAGGACAAGGACTTGACGTTGTCCTTCTTCAGTAAGGTTGGTGGAGACCTGACCTCCTGCTGTCTGAACTGGGAGCTTCTTCACTATCTGCTGCAGCAGGCGTCAGCTCAGACCATCACTGTGAACCTGAGGAAGAACCTCTTCTTACAGGAGGAAACCACACGTCTGCTTCCCTTTCTGGACAGGATTGTGTTTAAAAGGTGCTGAATGTAGTTTGATCTTTTACCAAACACAGTTTCTGCTGTTTAATCAGGAGGATTTGAAATGCTGTCTCATCTTTAATCAGCAGTTTATGGAGCCTTTAAACAAAGTTGGAAATAAACTGTTTGTTTTCAGGCCCAGTCCCAGCTTTGTGATGAGCTCCATCAGAGAGCTCTACAGAGCTCATGACAGTCACGCTGTGCCCAGTTTACTGAGGTCACTTGGTCATGTGATCAACCTGAGCTGCAGAGAGCTGGACTCAGTGGACTGTGCTGCTCTGATCTTCATCCTCAAACACGGAGACGGAGTCAAACTGAACCTCCTGTGGACCTCCATACCAGCAGAGGGAGCAGAGTCCATCCTCTTCATGCTGGACAACGTTTCTCATCTCAGGTCAGATATTTGTGGTAAATGTCATGTAATATGAACACATAGGTTAATCTTCCTACAAAAGGTCAACATTTTGGCTTTGTACTAATTACCTGCTGATCAGATTGTCCAACAGTAAACTGAAAGAGAAATAAACAAGTCCAATTACACCGATTAAAATCATCTACAACACACTCTTTAACATTCGGTACTTCTGCATTTGTTTTTTCCTTGCAGTGTTGACAGGAATCAGCTGCTCAGGTTCATCCACTGCTGTGCTGCCTGTGACGTCCAGCAGGAGGCAGCGTCAGGCCTGCTGAGGACTCTGCAGCACAGCTTGGATCTGTCCTGCTCCTCCTGTGTGGAGCTACCAGAGGAGGATCAGCCTGAGCCTCTGAGTCTGACTGCTGATGACTGCAGGGCCGTCTCCACCATCCTGACACACAGCAGCCAGGACACACAGCTCGACCTGCGAGACTGTGAGGTGGAGGACAGCGTGCTGGACCTGCTGTTTCCTGTCCTCCACAGGGTCCGCCTCAGGTGGGAAAGACCACAGAAGAGTCTAAACCAGAGAGAAGCTCGTTCACACTGGTGTTGATGCATCCTGACAGTTTCTCTTTGCTCTGTTTGTCCTGTTTAGAGTCAGTAAAACTGTCCTCCTGCAGCTGCTGTCTCTGGTTCCTGTGAACAGTGAGAGGGACACAGTGAGGCGGGCGGTGTCCCTGTGTAGAGCCCTGGGTGGAGAGCTGGATCTCAGTCACAGCACGCTGGATCAGAGGGCCTGTGGGTCTTTGGTCCAGATGCTGGACTCGTGTGAAGGGCTGACAGAGCTGGACCTCAGTCACTGTCAGCTCACTGACCAGCTGCTGCTCCCTCTCATCACACATCTGCACAAAGTCCAAGTCCTGGAGTGAGTGTCACACACTGATCCTTCTCTGGGAGGCACCAATAACCATCAGCCTGTTCACACACACTACAATAATATGATGTGCAGCGATCACTTAGAGCCACTTGTTGTGTTTGTGTTACAGTCTGAGTCACAATCAGATCACTGATGCTTCGACTGATGTGTTACTGCAGCTGCTCTCCATCAACCCCTCCATCGACT